CCAGCAGCAGCTGTTGTTAGAGGCCCTAGTGATGGAAAGAGAACCCATTTGAGCGAACACATTTTTGGAGGAAGAATTGCAAGAGGTCGATGAGGAGTAGGCGATAGAGCCATAGGAATGATCATCATCATCATCATCTTCATGATCATGGTCCGTACGAGGATGGATGTATGTAGATGTCATCGCTTGGGGTTGGGGTTGGGGTTGGCCTCCAGTAGTGAAGTGGTGGAGGGCCATTGTGGACTAGCTTAGCCAGCCAGACAGCCAGGTAGAAGAGAAGAATAGTACCATACAAGCAAATGGGGATTGGGGGGTAAATAATAAACACAGAGATACTACAAGCTTGTGAGCTAGGTAATTAACGCACGAATTGAAGCTCCCTAGCTACACCAATCCTTTCACCTCGTTAGCTTTTAACCCCCAATCCCCAGGCAGGCGGGGGGGTCGAGAACAAAACTCATGGTAGTCTAGTGCGCACGTGTGGGTGACATCTATCCACGTAAAAATGTGAGCATGTGTTCCCCCCCTTGGCAAAACAAAGAAAGGAGAAAACCCCACACCAACGCTGCTTCTACTGTTTGTTTTCTGTCTTGTTGTGTTTTCTTGTAGAGCCTCGAAGTTGCAGAGGCCTGTTCATATTCCTGTAGGCTATAATATATAAGGTCACTCACACCTTTCTTTTCAAGGGACTTTTCTTAATTTTTTTTTTTTTTTAAAGCAGAGTTCGCACAACCCTCTTCAGCTTTAGTAATAACCCCACCATGGTTACAAGTACTACACTTGAGGGTTTCAGTCTTAACCACCGAGTAAAGCAGAAGTGTAGCCTCTCCAACAGAAGCCCATAACGAGAAAGACATGAACATGCTCCTGACCGATCCTACCAAAGTCCAAAAGGGACATCAACTTGATGTCCCCCCAACGTCTGAGCCCTGCCCAGATTTCATGAAATCACACTCCACTATGTTCACTTCAATTTTTTCCTATCGCCCAACAAATTGAGGGCCAGACCTCTCGCGCGCACAAAAACCATCACCCCCCACTAGCTAGCTCTCTCTCTCTCTCTAGTTAATTAATAACTAATAAGTTGCTCTGATCCCACATGTCCTGCCTTTCTGTTCCGAACGTGTGTTCTCGTTGCTGGACATTCTGTTTGGAACAAGTTAGCCTTAATGAATTTATTGACGTCATGTTAGTTGGTTAATAATGGCTTCTCCTTCCAGTAAAATTTACAGCTCTCTATGATGCTTTAATCTATGCTATTGGAGTAATAAATTAAAGGCACTGCTAAAACTTTAGAAAGCTACGTTATACAGCTAGCTAGCCTTATTAAATCATTCGATCAGTGACGAGGGACCTGATTTAGCTAGCGCACCCCCACCCCACCCCCACAACAATGCCAAACCCAAGCAACCCGTAAGGAGGGTAATACTAGTTCAGTGCATCCAAAAAAAGAAATGCATGTACAAAGCTGGGCTATGGTGGTGTACGTACAATAGTAGAGAATACATAATTTCCACAAGAGGAAAGCACTGGTCCAGATTTTAGTTTCCTGAAAGGTTCAGACCCATTTCAGGATGGGTCATGCTTTTTTCCAAAGCAAAGCTTACTACTGTTCAAAATGGCTCCTGGTGCAGGTCATGGTCCGCCTGCTGACAAAACCCAGTAACAGACGTCTTCTTACATTAATTGATGGAGTGAAGCGACGGCACAGATGCCAACGAGAAATGGCCCAGGCTCCCCCCCCCCCGCCCCCCCCCCCCCCCCCCCCCCCCACCCCCCCCCCCTCCCCCCCCTCCCCCCCCCCCCCCCATCCCCCCCCACCCGCCCCCCCCCCCCCCCCCCCCCCCCCCAGCCCACCGCCACACCCGCCCACCCCCCACCACACACACACCTCCCTCCCTGTACAGTAACAGTAACAGTAACAGTAACAGTATCAAGAACGTACAGAGGTGAAGTAGAGCTGCCCGTGAGCTGCTGCTCGCTGCAGTCAATAAACGAACAGCATCTCCAAAGGGAAACATAGATGGATACAGTCATAGACCAAAATCAACGGGATTGTTACGGCTGATACCTAGCCTCAGACGATATATAATGTTCGAGATATGTTTATAAGGTTAGCCTCTTACTCTCAAGTGTTGCCATTACCAACAAAAATTGTATATGATTAATTGAGTTAATTTAGATGGATTAACGTGACTACATTTGGTTGGAGTATAGATGTTTTCATATGTGATGGTGAAAATATATATTCAATCCAATTGATAACATTTACATGCACACTCCCACCACCTAATTTGTAACTTACTCTAATATACATTGCTAAAATGCAAAGTCTTCCTTTACTCCTGGCCGGCCTTAAATTTGGGGGGGCGTGACCATACAATTAGGGACAGTCTGGTCCTGTTAAAAAAATGAGAGATTATATTAATTAAGCCAATCTAAACACATGTAGAAAATAGGGATGATCTCAAACCTAACAGCAGTCTGAGACTAGCCAGTTAAAAATTAATGTAGCGTACAATAAATTAATTAAGCTGCCCAAGCTAACCAGCTTCTGTTAAAGTAAGAGAGAGAGAAATTTGGGTAAATTTCCCTTGAATTGAATATTGAGTATGCACATATATTTATATAAGTAGAGGAGTGTGAGGTTTGTTCTCCCAAGCAATGTGGGATTAAAACCCACTACAATACACTATTATCAACAGCCCCCTTCAAACTCATGTTGGATCAAACAAAGTGAGTTTGCGTACAAGAAACTGGAACCGATGAACAGGTAAGGCCTTTGTAAAGAAATCTGCAAGCTCGTCAGCGGATGAAACATGAGGAAGTAGAATTGTCTTGTCCTTGATAACTTGGTGACGGACAAAATGAGCGTCGATCTCAATATGTTTGGTCCTTTCATGAAATACTGGATTATTAACAATCTGGATGGCACTCTTATTATCACAGTAGAGAGGAGTACGAGTCGTAACAGAAATGCCGAAATCACTGAGAAGGCGATGAAGATGAATAATCTCTTTAGCTGTTGTGGACATTGCACGATACTATGCCTCAGTACTGGAAAGAGCAATAACATCTTGTTTCTTACTTCGCCAGGAAATAAGGGAATCACCAAGAAATATACAATAACCTGTGGTAGACTTTCTGGTAGTTGGATCACCAGCCCAATCAGCATCAGAATATGCACAAAGCTCTAACTTAGATGTAGCAGGAAACAAAAGTGAGCGAGTGCTAGTACCCCGGAGGTACCGAAGAATCCGTAATAAGACAGCATAGTGTACAGAACGTGGGGCACTAACAAATTGACTGACAATACCAACAGCATGAGAGATATCTGGTCGAGAGATGCACAAATAGACCAACTGGCCAACAAGATATCGATATCGGGTAGGATCAGATAGAGGCCCACCGTCAGTAGAGCAAAGTTTGACATTCTGCTGGAGTGGAGTATCGACAGTTGCATTATCAGTTAGCTCAGCTTGATTTAGAATATCTGAGAGATACTTCTATTGAGACAGTAATACACCCCGCGGGCCTTGAGAAATTTCTAGACCAAGAAAATACCGAAGAGATCCAAGATCCTTCATGTGGAACTGTTGTTGCAACTGAGATTTTGCGTATTGTATACCTGTCATATCATCACCTGTAATGATCATATCATCTACATAGATGAGTAATAAAACCCTGCCACGCGATGTAGTGCGAACAAACAGAGAAGCATCTTGATGACTTTCTATAAAGCCCGCTTTGAGCACAACATCGCGAAAACACTCAAACCAAGCGCGGGGTGCCTGTTTGAGACCATAAACAGCACGACGAAGGAGACATACATGTCCCGGAGGAATATTTGACCCTGGAGGCGGTTGCATATATACGGTCTCTGATAAAGAGCCATGAAGAAAAGCATTTTTGACATCCATCTGGTATAAGGGCCAACGATGAGCAGCAGCGACCGCAAGGAGAGTACGAACAGTGGGCATCTGAGCAACAGGAGCAAATGTCTCCTCATAATCAATACCTTGTTGCTGAGTAAAACCTCGAGCCACTAAACGAGCTTTTCGACGTTCAATGGTGCTATCAGGACGAAACTTGACCTTATAAACCCATTTACTGCCAACAAGAGAGATCCAAGAAGACAGGGAACAACATCCCAGGTATGAGTTTGCTGAAAGGCTTGAAATTCCTCAGCCATAGCCTGTCGCCACTCTGAAATTTGAACTGCGTCTTGGAAGGACTTTGTGGCTCAACAATAGTATGAATGACAACAAGAAAGTTATGAAAGATAGGTGAATAAGAAGTAACAGAAGCATACCGGGCAGGCATGACATGTGGGCGTTTGCCTCGACGAAGAGAAAGAGGAACCTTAGGCGGGGGAGATGCTGGCGCAGGTGCGTGGAGATCAACAGTATTTTCTGGAGTGAGAGTTGTGTCCACGGGATATGGATTAGATGGTGTAAGAGAAGACTCGGGTGAGGAAGAGTCAACAGAAGGAGAGGGAGAGATGTTAGGGAGATCTCGAAAGGAAAATTGAGGTGAAGAAGTGGGTGATGCAGTGGACGGGGAAGCATGATCGGTAGAGTGGAGGAAATTAAAGTCATCAGAAGTAGAATAATATGGAGAATCCTCTTCGAACTGAACATGACGAGATATATGAACTCGACGAGTTGCGGGATCATAACAACGATAACCTCGATGTTCTGAACTAATTCCTAAATAAACACAAGAAACAGCTCTGGGAGATAATTTATCACGTTCGTGAGATGGCAGAAGAACAAAACATCGACAACCAAAAACGCGAACTAGATCATAACGGGGAGGATGAGTATAAACACGACTATAAGGAGTAGTACCGGAAAGAGAGCTAGATGGAGTGATATTAATGGAATGAGTCGCGGTGAGAATAGCCTCAGCCCAAAAACGACGAGGAACAGAGTAAGAAATGAGCATTGATCGAGCAGTATCGAGGATATGACGATGTTTGCGTTCAGCAACACCATTTTGCTCATGAGTGTAGGGACATGACTGTTGAAAGATAGTCCCATGAGAGGACATGATAGAGCGCATGGTAGATGATAGGTACTCTTTGGCACAATCAGAACGAAAAACTTTAATACGAGATTGCCATTGAGTGAAAATCATAACAGTGAAGGCTTGATAAGCAGTAAGTACGTCAGAGCGATTCTTAAGTAGGTAAACCCATGTAAAACGAGAGAAATCATCGATAAAGCTAACATAATATAAGTAGCCAGATGAAGAAGGCAAAGGAGCTGGCCCTCAAATATCAGAATGTACTAAATCAAATAAGGAAGTGGATACAGATGTACTCGTTTTAAATGGTAAAGCAGTGAATTTTGCCAGTTTACAACCAGTACATGACTCAATACTAGAACTAGATGATACAGGACCAAATACTCCAGACTGAATAAGACTCTCCAGCCTTTTATTAGACACATGACCAAGTCGTCTATGTCATAAATTGGCAGGAAGCGAGGTAGAGGGTTTTGACGAACAAAGAGAAGCAACAAGAGAACGTGGACGTATGGACTCTGGAAGGTGAAGATATTCCAGAAAATACAGTTTATGCCTCCTACGACCCGCCCCAACCGTCTTGGCCGTCTGTGGATTTTCGATAAACGAAAATCTGTCTTTGTTCCTTTTCCACCAAACCTATAAAAGTTAGGGTCGAAATTGGGCTTTCTCCTCAATAAATGAGGGACTCTTTTTAGATCGAATGACCAATCCTATTAAAGTTAGGGTCGTTTGAATCTTTCCGATTCTTGGAGTGGAGATCTCACTCTTAGTTTCATCATTTCGGATTCTGAGGGTGGAGATCCCACCTTGAGTTTCCTTTCCAACTGGAGATAGAATAAAGGAACAACCAGAGTCAAAAATCCAGAGATCATTCATACCAGAGACCGAAGGATTAGCTGAAGAACTAGCAAAATGCATACCAGAGAGTTGTGCGGCGGATGTAGAGGTGATATGTTGGAAAGCATCAAGTTGACGGCGAAGACTTTCAATAGCTTGAATAGTAGAGTCTGAAGTAGTATAAGGTATAGCATTGGCCAACAATCCTGGTGTACGAGAGGATTGAGACTGAGGGGGTCGCCGACCACGACCAGTACCTGAGGAACGTAACTCGGGATGAAGCTTGAAGCATGTCTCAATACGGTGTCCTTCCTTCTTACAATATTTGCAAGAGAGCTTAGATCAGTGACAGGTACAAACAGAACAGTCTCGAGTGAAGAGGTAGGAGTGTCTGTTGACAAATTGAGTCGTGCTGTCTGCTGCCGGGTCTCATAAGCAGTGAGAGCTCCCATAACTGAGGCCAAAGTCGGAAATTGAGGCTGATGAAGTAGTTGATCAGCCATAGTTGAATATTCAGGAAGGGACTGAAACAGTTGATGCACCTCATGCCGTTCGTACCAGGCTAGCCAGTCTTCATATGTGGAATTACGTCCAGGAAGCATGGAGCGTAACTCTGTCCAAAAAGCTTGTATTTATCCAAAATGGGACTGCAGGATGAACTACCTTTGCATTGTAGAGCAATGCGTTGCAGAAGATATGCCTCCCGTGCACCCGAGCACTCAGTGAAACGCTCAGTGAGACGAGTCCACATGGCCCGAGCAGAGGGAAGCGAGCCAATCTCGACAGTGAGACCAGAGCCAACACAGCGAGTGAGATAATCCATGACACGAAATTCCTGCAATTGCCACTCTGAACTCTCCTTAACATAGAGAGCACGAGTAGTCTGAAGATCGACATTAGCACTATCAGAGGAAATAGTACTGGATGAAGCAATCGTGCTGATGGACGGTGGAACTGGTCCCGTACTGGTGAGATGATCAAGCAAACCAACGCCACGCAAGGCATTGGTGACAATGGTGGACCATCCTGCCAAGTCACTTTGATCATTGAGGGGCAAAGGTGGTTTGAGAATCTTCTCTGAAGGAGCCATAACAGCAATGTTGAGACGTTAAGATGTCGAGATGCCGTTACTGACTGCGAAACGGCAATGCCGTTCGTTTGAGGCCGAG